TTGAGTATTGAACTCACTTCCATTTCGAGTTAATGTCTGTGATGCAGATTATTCCACAGATTATTCCACACACACATATGACGGTATATGAACACACACGAACATGCATATGCATATGCTTCGAAGTTGACATATGATTTTATTTAACTAAATAACATTATACCCCATCAACATTTTTGGGATAAGCCAGTGATATGAGCTGTCTTGAAACTCTACTTACATAAGAAAAATAAGCCAGTGAGTTTTAGTGACTCATTCAATTGAACATGGCTGTAAGAGAGATACCATCTTTTCGGGTGATGTATGTCATATGATGGACCGGAATTGAAAAAGATTGCCTCAAGGACCCCGTCAACACGAATGTCGCAGTAAAGCCAATCGAGGCCTGGCTAAGAAGAATCCACCATCGTCTCCTGTTGGCGGACCACTTCATCATACAATTTCACTCGGAATGGACGTAAGCTTCACATTAAAGATAATTGGTCATTTTCTCTTCGCAACGGCCGTGGAGTTAAGAAGACCTCAAATATCCCACCCAGTACTGCGTCCCCTGACAATTGCGCCATGTGTGTTTCCTATATCGGACTGTAACAATGACGCTAGCATAACTTTCATTTCGTTAGATTGCGCGAAAAAGACCTCGACTAACTGCATTGCGACTTGAAGAATCGGTGCTGAGCTTTCATTCGTCATGCAACGGACATAGTCAGAGCCAGGAAACATCATTTACAAAACATCACTATTAAAGTGCCCTATTCACCATATTTCGTTTAAGTTGATAAGGAATGGTAGTTAAATTTTCCCACAATCATATGGTTATGCCTCATGTTTTCATAGCATTTTACATGGTCCTGCTTCCTAAAAGTTGTTCTCATCCAGGCCTGACTTGATGCAATTTCGATCTCGCCTTGGCCTTATCAACACTCAGATAGGGACTCGAACTCGGGTAGCGCAACATACTGTCTTGACACGTTATCCATTACGCCACACTTCCACTGATTCCCTTGGGTCACTGGACAGTGTGAATTACGAAGAAGCCTGGAGCTTTCCGCCATCATATTTCTGTGGATGGATTGTAGCGTAGTGCTAAAGGTGTCGATAATATACGCTACACTCCCACAACCAGGATTCAAGTCACGTTGGGGGTGTTGATGAGACCGAGGCGAGGTCGAAACTGCTGTCCAATCCAGCCTAAATTAAAAATACATTTTGGGAAGCAAAGCAATGCGAACTTCAATTGAAGCAGTAGGCCTACTTATGCCAGTCTTTCATAATCTTAAACAAAATATGGTGAATACGACTTTTATATAAAGTCTACTTGTAGCCTGTTCATGAAAAAAAATTCAGCGAAATACAATAAACCAATAATGTTAGACAAGGACAAAGTACATCTGGCCTCTTGATCAAGTATAAAGTGATTTGGTTAGTTAAGATCATATGTCAACTTCGATGCATGTGAGTGTGTCTGTCTCTGTATTTGTATATGCCTGTTTGTATTGGCTTATGCACGAAACCCGTCATAGTGATAAAGTATACTTAACAAAAAACCGAAGCAATATGTTAAATAAAGTGATAAAGTGGCCTGCTACACACCTACTCTCGTATTATATCCGATCTTGCTACCCAAATGCGGCACCACACTACACGACTACTTCATGTGTGTTTTGGAGACTTATATTTCGTATGAAAGAGATGATGATGCTGCTTATGATATTCATACGTTGATATCACCGAAAGACGATTCATGTTTCTTTAATACGAAACTCTGACGCGGTCCATGAGACGTCTTCTCTTGTTTCGAATGAAAAAAGGGTGAGCTTTTTTCTTTTATACCACCTAACGGGCATTTTAACACCTGGGACTCACTCTTGCAACGGCTTTAAGATTAAACAAAGTCGAGACAACTATCCCACTTAACAATACAAGCTACATTTGCTCAAAACTAAAAATTAATATAAATGCATATCAATGAATATAGGATATTTGGTTATTTCTATTTTATATTAATTAGGACAATTATATTTGAAGTTGTGTATGTATGAGTTACCATCTGTACTCATGCAAGTCAGAGTGGGCAATACCGACTATGCATCAGAATTATTACAAAAGGACATGAGCTCAGACCCAGGCCATCAAGGTTTAATAACCCAAGGAAAAGCATGGCTCAGGTTGCGTAAGCCCGAAAATACCTCTGAATGAAATGATGTGGTATAAGCCTGTATTTGGGTAATCAGGTCACTAAACCCCCCGTCATACTCCGTCAGTCAGGGATCTTTAAAGTTTGACAACCCTAGTAAAAAGCCCATATACGATTGTGACATCTGACATGCCTAATATAACTGTCGAACGAATGTAAATGGGGTTAGAACCCTCACTTAGCTGACAATTGTAATCGTCTTCGTTTAATCGGCGGCCCAGCGCTTTCCTTTTCTTTCATTCCATCAGTCAAGAATAAGTGGTTTTTATTCTATTTTATAACTCTGCTATTTACAGTCAACGTATATCCGAATCCTTTAATTTCATTATAATCTCCTCATAACAGACTTATCCATTTTTGACCAATCTATCTGGTGTCCAGTTTTTGACCCGTGCTTGCGGATAAGTCAAGTTGACGCAGGAAGAGGAAGTGTTAATAGTAGCTATTAAGCTCACTTCCATTTCGAGTGAAAGCGTTTTGGTGAAGACGAGGGCAGATTCCTCTTGAATTGAACATTCTTGCTGACTCTATTTCAGAGACGAGCTCATTCGATTCCGGAGGAATAAGTGCTAAGCTTTCGTCAGTCATATGATGGGCACTATCAGAACAGGGTGTCATCCTTACAATCATATTCAAGCTAAAAAGCTCATAAATGTAATCGAAAGATATTGCCTAGGAAACAGCATCAGCCATAATATTCTGGTAAGACCAATCAAAAGCTAGTTAAGAGGAATCCGTTGTCGTCTTTTGATTGGATTGAGTTTCGAATTTCTTCACCAAATATTTTCACCCGAAATGGAAGTGAGTTCCACGATTATAGACCAATAGAATGCTCGGAACCCAACTTTTATTTGCACATATTATGTAGTAGCTGCTTTATTACAGAAATAAAATACCGTATGAATAATCAATTCTGATTAGGCATGAATTAAGATTATGTTAAGACTCTACATCGTTT